AGTTTGGAAAGTGATGGCAGAAGTGAAGGGAATAATAGGGTCCAGATCAGACTGGAAGGAGTCAGTGGGAGAGGGAGTCTGAACTAAGGGAACTTGTTCCAAAGCTCACAACCATCCCAGGTTGAAGCTGAAAATCAACCAAGTTTTACTGCTGCCTTTTGTGTCTTCCCTTTCAGAAGGGAAAGAGCTTGCATCACCATACTTTCCACAGAGATATTTATTTCATATGTAAATAATCCTGTAATCTAAACCCATGACAGGCTGTGGTGGGCTTCCTGGAGCAGCAGGACCACCACAAAAGATGCAAGCCCTGCTGCTCATGCTGGCTGAAACAAAAGACAGGGAAATGTGGGAGAGGCAAATCAGTGTGCTAGGTTGGAATCCGGAAGATCTCGGGTAAGCTAAGCCTTTCCCCTGGAATGCCTTGTTTTTGGGCTTTCCACATGTTGCTGTCGCTTGGATTCCCATTTGTGGAACATCCATCGGCTTGCGTAAATGGCAGCTGTAACGGGGATCTCCTTGCCACTCCATGAATAGAGGCTGGCAGGGCTGGGATAGAGTTGTCCTTCTGCCCAATGCACACCCAACCAACCTGGTGCAAATATAGCAGCTTACAACAGAATTTTGGCTGAACTGAAAATAAGAAGTAGCTCACCTTACGAGGGAGTGGCCCATGGTCATCCAAGTAAGTGGAATTTCCTACAAAGAAAGAAAAGTGAAATGTAAAATAAATTTTAATGGGTCAGAAATTAAACAGGTAAAGTACATCGGATAATCACTGCTTTATATAAAATTAAAAGAAACACAATCCTTCTTTGCAAAGGGATTTCTGTAACTGATAAGCAAGAGGTCTGAAGAAACTCTGCACTTCTCAAATAATGATAATAAAAGTAAGACACCTGACAAATGCAATTTCTATTATCATTTCATTTGTCATCTGCTTTACACAAAAGAAAAAAGTCTTGAACTTGACTCATCAAGGTGAAATACAGCAAATTAAAACTATTTAAAAACAGGAATTTACAACAATGAATGAAATACATGAAAAACTAATCCACTAACATATGCTACAGACAAGCCCTACCCACACCACTAAATGATGAGTGCCACCATTGGAAGTGGTACCTGAGTACACAAAAAGATCTTAGCCTTAAACAGAGTTAATAGTTCCGTACATAGATTGTCTAGGTCTAGACAGCATCTTAAAAAGTAGAGACATCACCTTGCCAAAAAAGGTCCGTATAGTAAAAGCTATGGTTTTCCCGGTAGTGATGTATGGAAGTGAGAGCTGGACCATAAAGAAGGCTGATCGCCGAAGAATTGAGGCTTTTGAATTATGGTGCTGGAGGAGACTCTTGAGAGTCCCATGGACTGCAAGAACATCAAACCTATCCATTCTGAAGAAAATCAGCCCTGAGTGCTCACTGGAAGGACAGATTGTGAAGCTGAGGCTCCAATACTTTGGCCACCTCATGAGAAGAGAAGACTCCTTGGAAAAGACCCTGATGTTGGGAAAGATGGAGGGCACAAGGAGAAGGGGACGACAGAGGACGAGATGGTTGGATAGTGTTCTCGAAGCTACCAGCATGAGTTTGACCAAACTGCGGGAGGCAGTGGAAGACAGAAGTGCCTGGCGGGCTCTGGTCCATGGGGTCACAAAGAGTCGGACACGACTAAACGACTAAACAACAACACATAGATTGTCTCAGTAAGAGACTGATATAGAGTGAATGCTCATGTGCATGGAACCTCATGGGAGCCTTTAACGATCTGCCATGTGCTGTTGGTATTCTACTTTCTGAAGCACATACTTTGTTTTCAAACTTTTTATAACACTTGAAAAATAAATTAGTAGTGGCAAGTATTTTGTGGTCAAGAAGCATGCCATGCACTGGAATCACATATAAAAGATGCCATATATCTTATACAAGATGAGATTTTAATGGCTTTTACGTTACCTTGATAATTTCTAAATGAACTTTAAACTGAATTGGTTTGAAAATTTTTTCCCTAGACCATGGCTTCTTTTCAAAGCTTAAAATGCATCAGCTATTATTATTGACATGAAAGGAATAGCTCTTTCATTCTATTCCAATTTTATAGTAAGCACTTGTCCTTTTGTGACTAATTCATTCTGTATTTGTTATTTAAGCTGGTGAATTCTTTTTCTCTATTCCAAAAAAATAACCTTGTAATCCAAGGTTTCAAGGCTGAATCCAGAGTAATGCTATTTGAAGTAAACAAAGAACTCCTGTAAAACACATACAATACATACATGAACTTTGCAAAAATAGGTAAACTACATGACATTTACAACAGCTATTGTATATTCTGGATGTGTACAGGCATTTTAAAATATTAATGTTAGAAGTCTGGCAAAATCACAATATTTTACAAGAAAAAAATGGAACAGAGCCATTTTACACTGTGATAAGCCAATTAATGTTTTTAAATATATATATATTATAACAATAGGAAGGCCATACCTTCCTGAGCTGTATTTGTACAATAAAAATCTTTATGGATGGTATTCAACTAATGAGTCCCATCAGTGGAAGCCAGCACAAATACTTCTGCGTGTGCAATGGCACTCCCTGCAAAAAACAAACAAACAAACCTTTGGGAAGTTGGGGTGGGGGAAGAGGTAGGATCATTCCATCTGGCAAGCTGAAATGCTTACTCTGGCAGAACAATCTCTACATAGTGCAACATTCAATTCCTCCTTAGGCTATTTTTAGACTTTGTTTTTCACCCCCTTTCTCTTTTGCCACAGGGGATCACAGTTTTTGTAGTTCAAAACCACAATCAATCTTCAGGTAGCAAAAGATGCTCCAACATAATTCTTAGGAGCTCTCAGCTGCCTGCTACTGCCCCCCCCTCCATTGTGAGTCTTCCCATCTTGAGGAAGAGTCAGAGGGCCTGTGTCAATCAGGCTACTCAAGCACTTTTTCTGAATGTTTGATGGGCCCAATTCATTTTGGGGACAAGTATCAGACTGCTTACTTCATCCACTTTCAGACAGAGGTGAAGATAAATTCTGATAAGTTCTGTTATATTATTAGTTACATTTACTTGTAACATATAGAAATTGTTCATAGTAAGGAATATACGGTAGGTTTATTGTGTGCCTCTGAATATTATGTGTCTTCTCTTTTCCCCGTGTTCTGACAGTGGAGCTAAATTTATGTTAACAGCACCTCTTTCCAACACTAGCAAAAGCCTAAGTTTCCCCATGATCCAGCCGTTAGCACATACCAATTTTCCTTAACAATGAGAAGTCTGTATGAAGAAGCAACCCTCTCTGTAATTAAGACAGCCAGCAGAATGCAGCTATTGATATAAAAAGAATGATCCTAGCATTCTCTTAGTTTCATGACAAGTATTCCTTACTCTGTGTTAAAACAAGTGATCTTTTGGTCTACACGTATAAAGAAAATAGTTTTTTTAGATCTGGCACAAACATAGCTACATTTTAGGATACTGATATTTTTTTAATAGTATGAAATAAGTATACGTGCCTTTCAGTGGTGTTTCATGTAGCCATAGGAAGAACAGCATAGTGTCATAATATAGGTTTAGTGTTAGCTTTCATTATATGAAGGACTGTTTCCTGCTTATAGTTTAAATATATGAGGTAAACAGCAGACATACTATGTGCAGAAAAATAGTGTAATATATTGAGTGAGTTAAAATATTTGCCCCTGAATTGAATCCAGCCTCCAGGGATGCTACCTAGCCCATCAATCAGCAAACCTATAATTCAAGTGTATGAGTACATATAATCTCCCTTCATACATTTCATGGAAAGCAGGTCCACATCACTTCCCCCTCACATAAGAGGCCAGGGAGGCACACAGACATTGGGGGTGGACAAGCGGTGAGGCTGCAGGAGAAAGGGAGGAATCAGCAGACCACCCCCACCCCCATTTCTAGTGAGAACTTCAGCTGGCTTGGAATCACTTTTGCAAATGGAATGAGCCCTTCTGTCCACAGAAGAGCAGGTCCAGATCAAACCCAGTGATACTGGATCTGTACTTATAGTATGTTTATAGGATATTTATAGTTCTACTACTTACAGTGGTACCTCGCAAGACGAATGCCTCGCAAGACAAAAAACTCGCTAGACGAAAGGGTTTTTTGTTTTTTGAGCTGCTTCGCAAGACGATTTTCCCTATGGGCTTGCTTCGCAAGACGGAAACGTCTTGCAAGTTTGTTTCCTTTTTCTTAACACCGTTAATACAGTTGCGACTTGACTTTGAGGAGCAACTCATAGAACGCGGTGTGGTAGCCTTTTTTTGAGGTTTTTAAAGACTTTGGTGATTTTTGAAGCTTTTCCAAAACTTTCCCGACACCGTGCTTCGCAAGACGAAAAAAATCGCAAGACGACAAAACTCGCGGAACGAATTAATTTCGTCTTGCGAGGCACCACTGTATTTTAGTTACTGCTCTTTGGTGCCTTGATGTATTTGTTTTTTAAAAAATTGAAAGCTCTTATAGAAATGCAGTGGAGATAATAAAAGCATCCCACCCTAAACAATAGGGAGGAGAGCTTCTACGTAGATGTTAAGCTTCAGCATCTCCCTTATTATAGAAAAGTATTTCTTGCCTTCCTCAGTTTTTCTTCACTATAGTTATATACAGCCTTCTCACAGCAGTTTTGCATTTCAGTTTGTGCACACATTTTCCGGTGGGCAGAAATGGGTGAGGAGAAATGAAAGCTGCTTGCCTTTATTCCCTTGGATTTTTCAGAATATCCATTTTTCAGAATGTAAACAAGGTAAAATATTTGCTCACAGAGACACTATGTGCACAGTACAGCTCTTATGTACAAGTTGCTGCTGGGTCAGGGTTATACAACCTAATTCTGTTAATCTGCAAGCATAGTTTCTATTCTAAATTATCTGCTGGGCCACAGCACATTGACACTCACAGGATATGTAGCTGGCAACCACCACTATGTAGAAAATATGTGGTAAAACACCACCACCATCACTTACTTCACACACACACACACACACACACGTGTACGTACGTACAAACATACGTATGTGTTGTGTGTGTGTGTGTATGTATATGTGTATAATCTCAAGGCTACAACTGCTTAAACATTTTTGTTTAGGCAAGGCTATCCAGACACGTAGGCAGTGATATGCTTTACTTTCTTTTTCTTTCAATTGTTTTTAAATGTTTATTTTTAACTTTTTGTTGATAATTTTAATATTTATTATAAACTGCTACAATCAAGCAGTGGTATATAAATTTTGTTAAGGTCACAATAAGCATCATTACATGGCAAGGAGAGAGAGAGAAACCCAAACCCCATGTAATTGTGGACAACACAGTATAGTTTTTTCTCAGTATCATTCCCCAATTTACTACATAAATCCTACACACACACACACACACACACACACACACACACAGCAGTGAGTCAAAAAATTCTCTTCTCTTTTTTGGGGGGGAGGGAACCTCTGGCCTTGACTCTTGGAAATCACACAGGAAGGGCAGAGGGATTAAATAAACTTTTTTTCAAAAGACACCCGAAAGCTACTTTTTGTTTAATAAGTGCTTTGAAATACACTTGAATTCAGCTCTAGATTTCCTCCTGCTGACAATCTTTTTAGGACAAAACTTTTTTTTAAAGTCTTACACACAGATGGATTATGCTAGATCCATCTGCCTATGCCAATGCTCAATTAACTCAATAAAAATGTGACTGCTCAGCATCTTTACAAACCTGGCTAGGAAGCAGCTTTACCAAAATCGACACACCCGATATTTAAGACAAGACAAGGCCTTTCTAGGCAACCAATTTTCTAATGTTAACAAAAGCACAGTTGTGAGCCGTAATTTGTTACTTGGGATTCAGACATCTTCCCTTGAGAAATCACTTTTCTGTTCTGGAGATTCTTCCCCCCCCCCCCAATATTCATAACTTAACTGTTAACAGGAAACTCCACTTATTTGGAATATAACTGCTCAACTATCATGAGCATATAACCAGGCAGTGTGCATGACTTCTGAGGAGCAGCCACTATTCTAACCTATGCTATGCTGTAATCCTTCCAATGCCATCACTCAGCCACCAAAGCCCCTGTGTGGCAAGCTGCTGGACAGAATGCATCCCAGAAGCCAGTCTTCATATTCTGTTCTGAGACTCTAGCTGGACTTAGTGCTGGAAGTGAAACAGTGAATAGCACTCACATCTTAACACAATGTACAAGTATTTTCCATAATTCACTGCCACAAGGTCCTAAAGAAAAAAACAGGCAGGATGGTTATTAATAAACCTATTAGCCATTATGGCTAAATCGATGCTCCATATTCAATGGCAGCATGGCTCTGGATACTTGCTTCTGCATTGTGGGTGCGTTCACAGCACTATAGGGGATGGCTTCATGTCTTTCCCATCACGCCTTTCTCATAGGCTTTTCAGAACCATCTTGTTAACCATCTTGCTGCAGGTCTAGATGAACCCTTGGTGCAATACAGCAAAGCTCTTGGCCTTGTATTTCATATGGCACAACCCTTGTGTGCAGGCTTTACACTCATCTCACATACTGCAGTTTGCATAATCCAGTCCTTTTTAAAAGAGGTGAAAAGTGCAGAGGACAGCGGCATGGCGATTGCAGAGCTCCAGACTCAACCTATACCTCTCTACATTCATTTTGCCAACAGAAAAATATATGCACAGTCTCTACTTCTACACTCATCCTAACTGAGAAACATCAAGCAGGTTGGTGTATGATTTTAAAAGGTAAAGGGACCCCTGACAGTTAAGTCCAGTCACAAACGACTCTGAGGTTGCGGCGCTCATCTCGCTTTACTGGCCGAGGGAGCCAATGTTTGTCCGCAGACAGTTTTTCCGGGTCATGTGGCCAGCATGACTAAGCCGCTTCCGGCAAAACCAGAGCAGCGAACAGAAATGCCGTTTACCTATTTATTTACTTGTACTTCGACGTTATTTCAAACCATTAGGTTGACAGAAGCTGGGACCGAGCAACGGGAGCTCACTCCGTCGCAGGGATTCAAACCACCGACCTTCTGATAAGCAAGCCCTAGGTTCTGTGGTTTAGACCACAGCACAATCCCATATGATTTTAAACTAGGAGTTAATTAATCCTTACTAGAAGGAAAGTCTCTATTGCTTTTAATTGTTATGGGCTGCTTATATATCTATTACTTTTCATTCTTTATTGCTGGTTTGGTAGTTTCCATGTTCCTGAGGCAGGCTTTTAATTTCAGTATGTTCTGCTACAAAGTCAATTAGCTTTGTAATGTACTTATGGGAAATTTGCTAACAGGCATCAAAACTTTATCTTCATCAATTAGGATTATACTCATCATCCACTGAACAGACTTTTTTGCATCACAAGTTCTCTGTTCAGTTTGAGTTCTGTGTGAGAGGCACATACGTAAGCTATTCATGCTTGTATGAGTTTCCTTTTTCTGTATTTTGAAATGGTCAAGACTAGAAAACCATTGGAAAAATGAAGAGTAGAAGAGAGAGTTAAATAATTTAGATTGCTCTTAAAAAGGACAAATTACTCTAACAGTTTGTCATCTGGATGTATCCTCCCATAAAGTAATGTATTTTGATGAGAAGAACAGGCACTCTGCTCAAGTACTTTAAATATAAAGATGTTTTTAAACTAACCATGCCAAGTTTTAAGTAGGCATAACAAACCAAAACAGAGTATAAAATGGCTTGCTAGCCTTCCTCTCCCTTTGAAATGTGTCCACTGATAAGCTACGGTTTCATCCATTACCCTCGCCAAATGAAATGAGGTATCAACTTTTTACCCACAAAGGAACGCCCTACCCAACCATTACCTCCTTAAAAGTATACAGTTCCTTCAGCTTCCATAGCATATGAGTGGCCAAGTCATGTATCTCCCACCTCCTCTGATTACATATTGTAAGCCTCCTTGACAGGATCTTGCCTGGCAAGGACAGCCCAGCCAATCTCCTTGTAATCAATACCTGCACTGCTTTATCCTATACTGCCCCCCAAGGTGTCAAGTGCACTTCCCAGAGTACTTGCACTAACATACAACTTCATCTACCTCACTAGTCCTTGTTCCTTATCCTTCAACCAAATACAAAGGCTAGCACAGTACAGGTGACCATAAAAGCAAGTTTTGCTAGTATAGAACTAGACAGACCAACTGACTGATTCTGTTGCTGATTCCTCCCCTGCTTTCTGCGATTGCATTTGCTTGCTACTTTTTAATACTTGCTGTTTTGTTTTTTAAAATGGTCACACACTACTATGAGGTCCCCTTTTGGTCATGAAGTTTTGTGAGTTCTAGTCCAATAACATTTGGAGGACCTGCTCTAGGGACTATACCCTGGCATTGTAATTTGACAGTGCTATGCACAGTTTTAAAATTGTGTGCAAATACAAAATTTAACAAATAATCTTGGAAGGCTTGTGTTTAAAAATTAGTTGCTACTTCTGTATCTTCATTATATTGGATCCAGATGAAGGCTGCAATCCAAACAAATACTTATGAGGGAGTAAACCTCACTGAACACAGCAAAGACCTACTTCTGAATAAATATGCATAGGACCGCACTGTTAAAACTTTCCTCTATTTTCCTGCATGTTATCCAGACCACCAAAGTAAGAGCTTTAATAAAACAGCTTGAGAGTGGGAGAAGATAAGAAAAACTACATGTCTCTCTAATTTGGCAATAAAGCAGCATCATGAAGATGACAAATGAAGGCCAGATAGTATCATCTGGATATAGTCATTCAAGTTAGTGAGTCAAGACAAATATATCCCGTTGGAGAAAAAACGCATTCCATTTCATGGTAATTACAAAAAATATCCGGGCTAGTCTTATCTATAATAATTACCAGCATTGTTATGACTATTTAAAACCAGAATGCTTTTTAGCTATGCATGGGAAGAAGATAAATATGTGAATGCAAGTTGAAAGCAAGTAATCCTCAAACACATGTTTTGTTTTCACTCTAATGTACTGCTACTATGAAGTCAGTATTAGGGTTGCCATATTTCAAAATGTGAAAATCCGGACACAAATGTTTTGCCAAAGTTGTTGAGCTTCCCCCCCACAAAACAACAACAACAACAAAACTCACCCCTAAAATGAAGTTTTTAAGTGATTTGCTACTTGGGTTGCCATGCGTACTTGACTTTCCCATACATTTCCGCCAGAGACTGTTTCCAACTGCCATATGCTGGCTATGTCCGGGACGTATGGCAGCCCTAGTCAGTACTGAACCAATGCTGAGCTTCGCTAAAGAAGCTGCTTTTATTCGCCTGTGCTACTGTGCTCTGCCCCCATCCCCTTGCCACATATGCTAAGCACACAGTGGCTCTCTTGTCCTCCACCTTAAACAGCTCCTAGATAACTGCCTTTTAAGTTAAGAGAAGGCACCCTAATGAGTAGTCTACATAGCACTACCATCTGATAAAGGTCTCCTAACTTTTTAACCCTCTGTCAATAGTTGGGATCAAATGCACACCAACACCACTGTAGGAAGAAATCAAACTATTTGTGTCAGTCTTCGACAAATCTTTGTTCCAGGTGGACCTTTGCTATAAAATGGTATGACCATACAGTAGTACCTTGGGTTACATACGCTTCAGGTTACATACGCTTCAGGTTACGGACTCCACTAACCCAGAAATAGTACCTCGGGTTAAGAAGTTTGCTTCAGGATGAGAACAGAAATCATGCTCCGGCGGCGCAGCGGCAGCAGGAGGCCCCATTAGCTAAAGTGGTGCTTTAGGTTAAGAACAGTTTCAGGTTAAGAACGGACCTCCGGAACGAATTAAGTACTTAGCCCAAGGTACCACTGTATATTGTTTCACCCACCCATTAATATGATGAATCTATTTTACTTTTTTGGACTTGCCTCTACTCCTTCTGAAACTATTGAATAAACTGAAGAAACATGGACCTATGATGCCAGGGGTCAAAATGACTCAATGATATAGTGTTTAATATAAGTCTACAGGTGCTTAGTACATAACCTGTTGTGTCCATTTCATGTGAGAAAGGAGTACAGAGGGTGAAATCCCAACATTTATCCATTTTCATAAA